TGCCTGCATGCGCTTGCAAGTCAACACTCACCACTACCGAAGGTTCAGCTTGCCATGTCCTTCGGTTTCATGTGCTCTGCTTCAAGCTTGGAACCCCAACAAACTTCGTGTCTGTCCTGAAAAGATATCGTACCTCTGCGGTTTTCGCGCTCGGTCCAACTTCGAAGCCTCAAATCCCACATCCCAGCCGAGTCCCAGCAGTGTAGCGGAGCGCAAGTTTCTTATGACCGGGTAGGTCATGGGTTTAGTGGGTCCGTTATGTAGTAGTGTCCTCTTGTTCCTAGTAGTAAGGCCAGGAGTGGGCCAACGCGCTCAACATGTTAGATGCTTACTGCATCCCAGCAGCTTGCTATCATTCGAGTACCTCACATGACTTAAGTTGAGTCAAACAAAGTTCTTCCCATCAGTCAATCCGACTCAATCCCCAATACATTCTAATACCCTCAACTTCATGAGTGGTCTGCAATATTTCAGTCGTGGTGCTGGGAGCAGTCCATCTCCCACACAGAGAGGCCTTGTGGAGCGATGTATGCTGTTGTGGCATTGTGGTAGTAAGGCCAGGAGCTACTACAGTAGTAGCTTCTTGGTGCTAGTAGGGATGCTTTTGTTATTAGTAGAGATGCCCTTTACTAGTAGAGAAAATAAGAGTCTGGTACATCTAGTGACCAACTGCTGCAAAGTTCCGACCTTGAAAGCTTGGGTTCTACCCTTCATATGGATCGATGTCGATAGATTGCAGGCGAAGCTGCCTGCTTTGTCAAACCTGTCCAGAAGAATGCCGCACTGAGTCTAATTTCAAGGCGTGGTAGAACAATGTAGAATCAAAGGACTGTGCCTCACACTACAAAAAACAGGATTTGCTGAAAGGATGTCAAACAAAAGGACTGTTTTCAAGAAAGCTTGCTCTGCCAGGCAGCTCTCGGCGTCGTTCCCATCCAAGGTCGATCAAAGATCTCTCAGCAAAAGGGTTCCGTACCTCGGAGCGCCAAGATGTAAAGCTGCGAACAAAAGACTAGTAGCTTCTTGTTCCTAGTAGTAAGGCCAGGAGACCCTAGTAGCGTCCTTGTTCCTAGTAGCGATGCCATGTTTTACTGGTATTGGTAGCTTCTTGTTCCTAGTAGTAAGGCCAGGAGACCCTAGTAGCGTCCTTGTTCCTAGTAGCGATGCCATGTTTTACTGGTATTGGTAGCTTCTTGTTCCTAGTAGTAAGGCCAGGAGACCCTAGTAGCGTCCTTGCTCCTAGTAGCGATGCCATGTTTTACTGGTATTGGTAGCTTCTTGTTCCTAGTAGCAGGGCCAGGAGACCCTAGTAGCGTCCTTGCTCCTAGTAGCGATGCCATGTTTTACTGGT